CCCCCTTTGCCTGGGAAAACCCGGGCGACATTGCCAAGACCCCCGCCTTCCTTTTTTTCAAGGTGGGGAGGTTTTTATAATTTTTCCACAACCCGGAAAACCACCGGGAGTGGGGCGAGGCAGCGGACCTTTCCGGCAGCAGGAACTTGACCGGGCTGCCCCCCCCCACCCCAATCCTTGTCCCCGTCCCCCTCCCGAGTTGGTCCCATGTCCTCCGTTCTGCGAAATCCAAGAAAAGTGGAAGGTCGGACATCTGAAAGTGGCGGGAGCCGGCAGCGACACGGAGGCAGGAGGACTGAGGGAACACGGATGGGAACCCGGCAGGGAACCTCGCATGTGACAACGTCGGTGGGAGAGGTGCCAGCTCACGTCCACCTCCTGAGCCCCTGGTCACACGGGGGCCCTCGGGTGGCGCCCTCCGGGGGCAGGCTGGGCGTGCTGTCAGCCGCCGGCACCTCCTCCTTCTTCAGCGAGGCCGGCACCCGGAGGCTGACGTAGGGTGTGTGACAAGCCGTGTTGGCCAGAGGCGGGTAGTGCTGCCGGTAGCAGATGTAGGCGAACAGGAGGCCGATGACGCCGCCCACGAACGAGTCTAGGCAGGAGAGAGCACACGCGGGAGGGTTACGATTGTGAGTCCTTCACATGGGCCGTGTGTCTCCCGGGGGCACGTGCTCCAGGAGCCACTTGCTGGCTGGGCCCGACCGCCTCCAGGGAGAGAAACTGTGCCAGAGGAATAACCTGGAGGCTCTGCAAACTGTCCTAGACCTTAAACATCCCTTCAGAATGTGTCCTGGAGCCCGGCCGGCGTGGCTCAGGGGTTGAGCATTGACCCATGAACCAGGAGGTCAGGGTTCGATTTCCAGTCAGGGCACAGGCCCGGGTTGTGGGCTCAATCCCCAGCGTGGGGCGTGCAGGTGGCAGCGATCGATGCCTCTTCTATCCCTCTCCCTTCCTCTCTGAAGGTCAATGCCTTACCTCATCCTTAGCTCAGAATGTCACGCACACCTCATCTTACCTTCCTGTCTCTGAATCTCCATGTGCGTGGGGCCTCTAACTCTCTCATGTATGTGGGTCTCCCGTACTTATGTAATTAAACGTGGTCATTTTCTCATATGAATCTACCTCACGCTGGTTTAATCACTAGGCCCGTAGAAGGAACCTACAAGGCAGAGGAAAATTCCTTCCTCCCCCACAGGCGCCGGGGGCAGGGATGGGCTGCAGGGGTCACTGTTCTCTCTCAGAGTCTCACCCTCCCCTCCTACCTCGGTGGCTACTAACCAGGGCTGAGCAGTCCCTAATGCTTTGCTTGCCCTTCTGCCGTCCACACAGCAGGCTGACCCTGGGCCTCACATTCCTCTGAGCCTCCATGCAGGTGTTTGATGCTCTTATGTGACACCTGCCATGAGGGACAAGTGCGTCTGTGAGGTCACCACTGGGGTGGCCACCCGCAGGCCGGCCCTGCAGGGCGAGCAGGCGCCACCAGGGGACGTGAGAAATGGAAGCAGGGAGGCCCCCGCAGGCTTCCAGCCAGAAGGAGAGGCTTAGCCAACTTGAGAGACGGAAGGCAGGCCCATCTGGCCCCCGAGGGGCGGTGTCTGTGATCCCACAGGATGTAAGTCGGCCAGGCTCCCGGTGTGGGCCCGAGCAGGTCTCCCACTCCCTTCCGGGCTCAGGTGAACCCTCAGCTCAAGCCGGGGCCCCACTGGCTCCTGGGCTACTGTCTGTGCATCTCTTTAGACCCCACACCCCCACTCAGTGCCTGGTAGGGAGGCATCGCAATGATCCAGGCAACAAGCAACGGAGGTTTGCACTGGACGGGGAAGGGGACGTTGATTCTGGAAATGTTCTGGACACAGAACCAAGAAGAGAAACCAGGGAAAACCACGGGGAGCGGGGGGGAGGATCCCCTGGACAAGCAGTCCGCTGCCCGTGGACTGGGGAGCGGCATGAGACCCCGAGCAAGGCCTGGGAGACGATGGCTGTTTACGGGACTGAACCTGTAATCGAGAAGCCAGAGGAACTTCGCAAGAGGAACTCCCACACCGGGCACAGCTACTCAAATCGAAATAGAAATGGAGTCATAAAACTCTCATCATATTCATGTTAACGGACGTCTACAAGGAGCCGCCTCGGGCTTTGCTGATGCCCGTGGGCTACACACGAGTTCTCGTCATGATGGATGGCCCCGCCCACGGTCGCTGGGCAGCTCAGTCACCACAGAAAAGCAACAACTCATCTATCTCCGTCAGGCCTCTGGCTGCCACCCCTCCTCCCCCACCTCTGAGGCAGCCCCAGGCTCCAGGTTGGTCCCTTCTCCAGCTGCAAACCTGAGCCTCCTTGGTTACCCTAATAGGTGAGAGTGGGATGAACACAGCTCCCCACGCCCTGGCACTGCTGCTTCCTAACGAGTGACGAGGGAAAGACAGCTGAGGGCTGTGCGGCTGGGGGTTTCACCGGCCCTTCCTGCTGCCTCACCACCACTGGCACAAACCCTGGAAGAGGTGAGAAGGGCGTCCCACAGGCCTGGGCTGCAGGAACAGAAAGAGCGGGAGGAGGAGCAGCTCCTGGGCAGAGGAGCAGGAGGGGAGGGCTCACCTTGCCAGTGGTGCTTGTAGTCGCACATGCGGGACAGCGCGATCATCATGGCGCAGTACAGGGGCAGGATCGCGGCGCACAGCCGCCAGCTCTTGCCCCTCCCGCTCTCTGTGAAGCAGTGCAGCTTGCCGGCCAGGTAGAACGTGGTGAAGCCCAGGCCTGAAAAGGCAACTGCCGAAGAGAAACAGCAGGGTTACCTGGCAGGTGGTGAGTGGCAGGGATGCAGAGCACCCGGGCACCTGCCTGCCATCATGCTCTCCATCTAGGCAACCTGTGCTCTGCTAGAACCAGGCTGGTATGAAGCTCTCAACCATGAGAATGCCCTCCCAGGCTTGCATGTGACCAAATCTATTCTATTTTATCTATCCATTCATCCATCCATCCAACCATCCACCCACCCATCCATCCATCCATCCATCCATCATCCATTCATCCACCTATCCATCATCTATTCATCCATCCACTATCCATCCGTCCATCCATCATCCATTCAACCATCCATGCATGCATGCATCCATTCACCCATCCATCATCCATTCATCCATCCATCCATCATCCACTCATCCATCCATCCATTATCCATCCATCCATCCATCCATCCATCATCCATTCATCCACCTATCCATCATCTATTCATCCATGCATGCATCCATCCATCCATCATCCATGCATGCATCCATCCATTATCCATCCATCCATCCATCATCTATTCATCCATGCCTCCATCCATGCATCCATCCATTATCCATCCATCCATCCATCATCCATTCATCCATCCATCATCCATTCATCCATCCATCCATCATCCACTCATCCATCCATCCATCCATCCATCCATCATCCATCCATCCTGTTGAGGAGCATGGGTTCCTGAGACACACCAAGCAGGTGTGGTACTCAGCTCTGCCATTTACAACTGTGAGCTCCCCCTCAAGGCCTCAGTTTCCTTATCTGTGCAATGGTGTTAGCACACCACTCACAGTGGCCCTGGGGGTTAGTCTATGAGCAATTGTAAATTGCCAGCACAGTGCTTGGGACCTATTGACCAAGCTCCTCACATTGCTGACTGCAGTAACCATCGCTGTGCACAGCCTCAGGTCTGGAAAGTTCCATCCTGACAGAGAAGCCTTTGCAAGGGCTCCCGTGCAATCTGTGCTCCTGAGTTATGTAACTGCAATGCTTGCTTAGAGAGAATTCCAGAGCCAGGTTCTCAAGATCTCATCATTCTGAGGCCCTGGGGGCTCTCAGCAGATGCAGAACGATCCCAGCTGGTAAAATAAACAAACTTGAAGGCTCGTGAGATGAATCACAGAGATATCTTCCCCATCCCACTCGCAGAACGCCCGAAGCTCTCGATGAGATGAGAGGGACAGACAGCCAGGAGGCCAGGCCTGCTTTTCTCCAAGATTCTTCAGAAACAAATTTCACTTTCAGAACCTGTTTTCATGCCCCGTGGCCCCAAATCCCTTAATATGGTCAGTTTCTCAATTATAGTTTTAATTTCTCAATCCATAGTTTAGCCCAGCTAACATGCTTGTTCTGTTTTCCTTTTTTATGACAAGCTCTATTCACTAGTATTCTAGGATATTAAGGGATTTCATTTTCAACAAGAGGGTGAAAGAAGACGGTTACAGATCTGAGAAGGTGGGTCTACGGTGCATCTACAGGTGAAACCATTCAACGGAGCAACTGGGCAAGGCAGTGATTTCTTCCTCATGAAACAAACAAGGTTCATTAACATCCGATGTAGCGACCCAGCCAGAGTTCAAGTTTCAAGGAAAAATCTTGATGAAAACTGCAGAGTAGACTCAGTACGCACAGTAACTTTTCCAAAAAAAATCTCGCTTCTCTAAACGCTCAGCCATGAGATACTTGTGCTCTGATGTAGGAAACAAAGCCTGTCTTTGCTGGGTTAAGAGAATTCTCAAAATCCTTGAAATCTTCTGAATCTCACACCAATAATTCCTTTACAATGTCTTTTAAAGACAAGAGTTCATTGCAATTATTGATGGCAATAATTCAACAACCTAAAAAAATATCAATTAATTCAACTAGATAATTTAGGGGAAATGATTTGGGTCCTGATGTAATTTAATAGGTCCATTTTATGGATGAGAAATAGAGGCTCAGATAGTCAAATTACTAGTATTTACTGAAGGTTAATGCTGCCCTTAAAAAAAATGAATTGCCGGGCTGGTGTGACTCAGTGGTTGAGCATCTACCATGAACCAAGAGGTTGCTGGTTCGATTCACAGTCTGGGCACATGCCCGGTTGTGGGTCCATCCCTAGCAGGGGGCATGCATAAGGCAGCTGATCGATGATGTTTCTTTCTCTCATTGCTGCTTCTATCTATCTCTCTCCCTTCTCCTCGCACTAAAAATCAATAAAAACGTATTTTTAAAAAACCACCAGCAACTATGAATTATTTCTAAACAAAAGAAAAAAATCATAGGATTCCTTGGCCGAATGCAGTCACAGGACTGCTAACTGCCCATTTGTTTTTTATGCCCCTGTAGGCGCGTGGCCATCAGAACTGAGTTAATACAGAGGGAAGACAAGGGAAGTCACCAATCCATGGAGCTGAATGAACACACACATGACCGGCTCTGTTAGGTATCCCTGCAACAGGCCACCGTCCTGGAGGCAGAAAGACATCTACGGCCACAGAAGGTCATGCCCTCATCCCCTGCTCTAGGCAGGGTGACGCTTAAGCTACCTGAGCCAGGTGAGATTTCCATCTCAGGATGGAAATGATGGTGCATCTTGTTTGAGAATGAACAAAGGGGAAAAGGAACTAAAATGCTGGTAATTAGCCTGAAAGCAAATACCAGAGGCAGGAAATGCAAACAGAAAAAAATTAGACAATAAACTCCTTCTGTGACACCAGTTTGCATCTTCAAAGAGGACTTTGTTCTGGGGAAAAAAAAATCCCACCTGGGCACAATGCACCAAGGCGCTGAGGAAGCATGAGGGACAGGGGAGAACGGGCTTTGGGGGAGAAGGTGGCCGCCCCTTGGTCCACCCTGTGGTCCTGGGAGTGGGCAAGGCCTTGCCCCGGAGGATTAGGACTCTGAAATGACAGAAGCCACTCTGCCCCTCCCTTCACCCTGCACTACTCAATGAAAAATTCTTATAGATGCTACTCCTTACCCTAGAGAGAGTTATGAACGGTCACCAAGATGGGAAGCAGTTTCAATCCCCAGGACAACCTTTTCGTTTCCCCGTCTTGATGATGTGCCACAATGATCAGAAACATAAATATAAGAACAAGACTTCAGAAGGGAGGAATTACCCTGTTCCATATCACCGTTAGGGGAGCTGCTGAGAGCCTGAGCAGGATTACATAAAGATAACATTTTTATGAAAAATAATTGCATTTTACTTCCGAAGGCCTTAGTAGAACATAAAAGTGATGGCCAGATTCGAATGGCAACGCACACGTTCGAGAAACAACTACGAAGACGGCAGCCCTTTATGTACCCTCTCCTGGGGTGCAGGGACCTCAGGAGTCCTCGAAACGGTAATGACCGCCACTGCCCAGCCACCATCTGAGGAGATGGCCTCAAAGGCACCTGCCTTTTGTGAGATGTCGTGCCACCTGCACTTTGGTTTGTTAGGAAAAAACAACCCTTCTGATCAGACCCCAGGCCGCCTTGACTGGGGACTTGAGCCCACACAGGAGGGAAGGTGTGAGATGACAACCATCTATTGGCCTCTGCCCTCGGTTCCTGGCAGAGAGCTCCTAAGACCTAAGTGGTACGAGCACTGGGCACACCCACCCACTGAGGGTGGGCGCCTGGGTGGGTCCTGAATGGAGGCCGGTCACCGGAAGACCAGGTGATGAGAAGCTTGGACTTTCAGCCCAATCCCCCATTCTCCAGAGCGGGGGAGGGGCTGGGAGCAAAGTGAAGACTAATCAGCCTCCGTGATGAAGCCTCAATAGAAATCCCCCCCGCCGCCCCCGTGTTCATGGCAACATTATTCACGGTGGCCAAGACATGGGAGCAACCAGTGTCCTGCAGCGGAGGACTGGCTTCCCCACTCACACTCATTGGCGTTAGGCAGATCCCTGACCTGTGGTCTCACCGGCAACATGGCAATGGGAATATCTACTCAGAGTGTCTTCCTGAGGATTAAGACGAGCTTGTGGGCAATCGGGTGCTTCCCCGGGACATCGCAGACGCTCCGTCCGGGGCTGGAGGAGGCGCTGGTTGATGTCAGAGGCACCTACTCTTCACTGTACATTGACCTTCCGCTTCCCTGTGCATCGTAACTGCAGTAACTGGGTGTCGAGAACCCGATGTCTGGCCCCCTCACATTCAGCTCCGCCGGCTTCCTGAGCCGGTGGCTGCCAGGCGGGAGCCCATGGAGTGAGTGCAGGGAGCGGGGGCCACCGGCTCTCTCCTCCTGCAGCCTGATGCCTGCACCCCCCTCCATTCAGGGGCACTCTGCCTGCTCTGCCTCTGTGAGCAGCAGGAGAGAGCCAGGGGCCCCGCTCCCTGCGCTGCGTTTCACAGGCTGTCCCTGCGCCAGCTCCTTGGCTCCCGCCTGGCACTGCCCCTCAGGAAGCCGGGGGAGCTGACAGCCTTCCAATCACTGAGCAAACCCTCCACGTGGGGAATGAGGCTCAGGGGACAGCAGGTCATGGTTGCAAACCCTCCACGTGGGGAATGAGGCTCAGGGACAGCAGGTCATGGTTTCAGTCAATTCTGTGTTTGTTTTGAAGAAAAAGCAGCCGCCGCAGCAGCTACTCGTCAGTTCAGTCACCACGCCCACTGGCCCGCCAGCCAGGAGCTCTCCTGGGAATGAGCACGGTGGGCGCGTGGGGAGCCCCCGAAGGGGGGGCGACTCCTCGATGCCAACGACGCCGGAACGCGATGGAAAGTGTGAACACCCTGCAACCCAGTCAGAGTCCGACTTCCCCGGGGAGAGGGGGATGCATCGCCCTGATCTCAGCTTCAGTGTTTCACTCGTTAGAGCAAGAAGCTGGGATTCCGTGAAAGGCCATGGAGTCGAGGCAGCCAAGGGCCTGAGTCTAGAGCAGTGGTTCTCAACCTTCCTAATGCTGCGACCCTTTAATATGGTTCCTCATGTTGTGCTGACCCCCAATTTCATTGTTACAAATTGAACATAAAGCATAGTGATTAATCACAAAAACAATATGTAATTATATATGTATTTTCTGATGGTCTTAGGCGACCCCTGTGAAAGGGTCGTTCGACCCCCAAAGTGGTCGCAACCCACAAGTTGAGAACCGCTGGTCTAGAGGAAGATGACTTTATTCCCTAACTCAATGCAAGGTTTTGTCCAAGACGAAGAACCTGACCTGCCAGGATCTAGAAAAATAGGCGAACATCACAAGACACACACATTCTCGAAAAACAGCGACCATCCACATCTCCACGGGGCTAGGAGGTTAAGGATTCTACCATAAAGGTGTTTTTTTTTTTTTTCAAACATGTATTCACTTCCTGCTACAGAGCTGGCCAGGTATGACACTCAGCTAACAAGGAGACAGGCTTGGTTCTTGGCTTCAGCGGAAGTAGAAACAGAAGTGATTACAAACCGTGGGGAATGTCAGGAAGGGAACAGACTCTCGGAGGAGAGAAGCTGGAGGGGACAGGGAGGCATCGCGGTGTATAAAGTCAGGAGGTGGAAGGAGCAGGACTCACAGGGCATTAGCGAGAGCGTCCCGGCAGGAAACAGCGCTGCAGGCCTTGGAGGAGAGCAGGCGCAACCGGGAGCTCTCGGAAGCCAGTGTCCTGACCCTGGTTAAGTGCTGGGCCTATGGCCCGGCCGGCGTGGCTCAGTGGTTGAGCATCAACCTATGAACCAGGAGGTCAGGGTTCGATTCCCGGTCAGGGCACATGCCCGGGTTGTGGGCTCGATCCCCAGTAGGGGGCGTGCAGGAGGCAGCCGATCAATGGTTCTCTCTCATCACTGACGTTTCTCTCTCTCCCTCTCCCTTCCTCTCTGAAATGAGGTGGAGGAAAGGAGAAACTGCGTCCCCTGCTGGTGAGTGTGAGCTGGAACGCGGCCTCGTGCCCTTGGACTGGGACCCTCGCCATCAGCACCTGGTTCTTGGGCCTTGAACCCAAACTGGAACTTACCCCCAGCTCTCCTGCTCCGCCTCCCCCCGTCTGCAGACGGTAGATTGCAGGACTCTCAGCCTCCATAATTACATGAATTATTTATTAAAATTCCTCGCAGTGAATCTCATTATAGCTACACCATTGGTTCTGCTTCTCAGGAGAACCCGGACTCACACGGAGAGAAAACTCAACTTGCTCCAGCCTGGCTGGGGATCCCCAGACTAGAGTTCCCGGTGAATTATTCAAGAAGCTGCTCGGCTGCTCTGAGGGACGCTCAGCCCGGTCTCAAGGCCGGAGCCACGGAGGAGCCGCGAGGCATCGGGGGCCTCCACGCGAGAGGACGGAAGAGGAAGGCGGCACGTGTGCACCTGGGCGTCGGAAGGTCGCCCGGGTCCAAGTGTCATCCCGGGAAGGATTTATACGCGAAGCTGAAGGACAGCCAAGCCTCCGTCCAGCGGCCTTCCCGCTGCACTGCCTCGACGCCCCCTCCCCCGGGCAGAGTGAGGAAATGGGTATGTTCCAGGGACCCGCAGGCCCGGCTCACCACCACAGGGCCCTGGTGCCCCCCCCCCTCCCACCTCCACCTCGGCGTCTACAGGCAAGAACGAGCCGGGGAGCAGCGGGAGCTACGAGGTGTTGGTGCCGCAGATGCTGAGTGTCCCTGGGACCTGGGACGTCCCTCACTCAGCTGGGGCAGGTCCGGGGCAGTGGGTCCTGTTGGTCCTCCTTACTCCCCAAGGTGGCCCAGCCCTGCCACCCACACCCCCGACTCGGCTGGGGAGAGAGCGGTGTCATGTCCTCCGGCCGACTGCGCCTCCTAACGAAGCTGGGTCCAGCTACCACTAAAGTGACTCTGCATTTCCCAAGCAGCCAGCAGACGGGAGAGGCAGCCCCAGGCCCTCAGAGGCGTGAGGAGCGAGCCGGGAGGGAGACGGCGGCTGGAGACCCCGATGGCCATTACTCAGGGATGTTTCTGAGTTTTATGCAAAAGGGAAAGGAAGAACACATCTTTCTGAGGATGTGCACACCAGATACGGGTCAGAGAAAGCACCAAGAAAGGCCGTGTGTTCCTACGGCTGTGCCAGCTGAGGTCGGGCACCCACTCAGGGCCTGGACACTTTCCAGAGGAGGGTTTTGTGAAACACTGTTGGCTCATGATTGATCGATCAATTGATTGATGGATTGATTTCTCTCCTCCCTTTCACCCATTTATCAATCCATGAATCTACCCATATCCCAAAAGATGTCTGTTACAGAGGACATGGTGATGTGAGCTTCCACTTTTAGAATACACGTAACATCCTGAACGATCTTTGGGCCCAAATTGGAAGTCTGAGCTAAAAGCCAAAGGCCTGAAACAGCCATAAGGAACCCACACAACGTTGCCCATGGGTCAACGCTCAACCACTGAGCCACGCGGCCGGGCGTGAGGCATCTTGTTTACCGTTGTGTCCCCAGTGCCTGGCACCGCGTCCAGCACGAAGCCCTTCAGTGAACATGACAAAGCGAACGCACAGGACAGCCCGGAACCTCGGCTCTGGCGATAAACAGCAACACAGATAACGACATCCATTTAAAGGGCTACACCAAGTACCTTGCATACGAGGGGAGCAAATAAGACAGCGCACCAAACGCTTAGAAGGCGGGCGCTGCAGGAACGCTGGGGTCAGCATCGCATATCCCCGTGGTTGGCAAACCGCGGCTCGCGAGCCACATGCGGCTCTTTGGCCCCTTGAGTGTGGCTCTTCCACAAAATACCACGTGTGGGTGCGCACGTACAATGCGATTGAAACTTCGTGGGCCATGGCAGAAGTTGGTATTTTGTGGAAGAGCCACACTCAAGGGGCCAAAGAGCCGCATGTGGCTCGCGAGCCGCCGCTTGCCGAGCCGCCCTTTGCCGAGCCGCCCTTTGCCGAGCCGCCGTTTGCCGACCACGGGCTTATCCCAACCCTCACCCACAGGAACAGGCGTCATCTCCCCACTTACCACAGGGAGGTTGTCACAGAGCTGATGCCAGGCAGGGCCGGGCACTGCCACCCAAGTCCCGTTCTCTCCACCACACCTCCCTGCACCCCTCTCTCCACCGCACCTCCCTGCACCCCTCTCTCCACCACACCTCCCTGCACCCCTCTCTCCAACACACCTCCCTGCACCCCTCTCTCCACCACACCTCCCTGCACCCCTCTCTCCACCACACCTCCTTGCACCCCTCTCTCTAACACACCTGCCTGCACCCCTCTCTCCAACACACCTCCCTGCACCCCTCTCTCCAACACACCTCCCTGCACCCCTCTCTCCACCGCACCTCCCTGCACCCCTCTCTCCACCACACCTCCCTGCACCCCTCTCTCCACCGCACCTCCTTGCACCCCTCTCTCCACCACACCTCCCTGCACCCCTCTCTCCAACACACCTCCCTGCACCCCTCTCTCCACCGCACCTCCTTGCACCCCTCTCTCCACCACACCTCCTTGCACCCCTCTCTCCACCGCACCTCCCTGCACCCCTCTCTCCAACACACCTCCCTGCACCCCTCTCTCCAACACACCTCCCTGCACCCCTCTCTCCACTGCACCTCCCTGCACCTCATTCACACTATTTAGTCTTGGCCTTAAGGCTGGTCCCAGCTGGAACATCTACAAGAGATCACACATTGTGTGGAGGTATACATGTGTACATATGTGTGCTACATAGTGGTACAGACGACACACACACACACAAACAAACAGTACCGTCTCCGAGGGAATAAACTCGAGTGAACCCTGAGCTACAAGGCGGCGGCCCAGTGAGCACGGTCCAGCGCCTGAGTCCCACGGACACGGGTGAAGGGTCACGTGTTACACCTGCCGGGCTCGCAGCAGCAGCACCAACGTTTCTAAACGCTGGAGCCTCGTCCACCCCTTGTCCCTCCAGCGGAAGATCCTGTTTGTGAGCCAACGGCCCACACAGGACAGTGAACCGCGCCCTGACCCCGCAGGGCGACCGAGAACCATGGGGGAACCCGTGTCCCGCGGGCACTTACAGGAGGAGTGGATGCTGGGGAAGCTCTTGCGGCCCTCGGACACCAGCTCGGGGTCCCCTGTGCAGTGCATCTCCGCGTTCATCACCCCATCTGGAAAGCAGCGGTGAAAGAAATCGGGGCGCGGTCTACAAAAGACACCACGGACACATTCCATATAAACGCTGCCGTCACAACGAGCCCCAGCTGACCCTGCCAGCTCCTCCGGCCACACCCCAGCCCCCCTGGCCACACCCCAGCCACACCAGCCACACCCCAGCTCCACCCTGGGTCCCACACACGACAGACAGGGTAGAGCTTAGGCCTCGGGTCAGAGAGACCCCCAGCTGGACTCCTGCTCTGCCGCCTACGAGTGTCCTGACCTTGGGAAGGCCAAGTGCCTCCTGAGCCTGTTTCCACGTCTGTCAAGGGGAGGCCACTACCTACAAGGTGAGGCCTGAGGGGAACGGGGTTCAGGAGGAACCTCCCTCAGCGCTGGTGAGGTCAGCGCCCCACCCGCCCAGGCCCTGCATTGAGGCTGCGTCAGGATCCAGGTCCCAGGGCGGCTCCTGTCCCTTCACTGGGACTCTGAGTGGCCGGCTGCCCCTCGCAGACAGCAGATCTCCCCGACCCCCGAGAGGACCCCGAAAGTCTCGGTCCATGAGCGTGGTGGGAGAGTGCCCTCTGCAGGGGAGGGCCCGGGCCTCCTGCCGCAGCCTCGGCTCAGCTCAGCCTGGGACCAGATGGTGCTGAGCGTGCACCTGTGCCGGTCCCAGGATTCGTGATAACCTGCGGCAACCCCTGGGCATCTTCACTTTACAGGTGCAGAACGCAGGCTTCGAAAGGGAACACCCCTCTGGGTCACACTCAGCCAGCTCGGAACCGCGCCCCCCATGGGCTCCTGCACCCACACACCTCACCCTGCCTTTCTGCCTCGTTCCAGTGAGGGTTTTCTCCCAGGTGTGCGATGGCCGATGGCCAACCACCTCTCATCGAGTCAACCCAGTAACGCCACCGCGGGCACGGCTGCAAACACAGGGCCCCTTTTCTGCACGCATCGGGGCACCGTTCATACACAGTGGCTCACGGACACTCCCAGCTCTAGGAGGTAGGCCCCAGTAATCACCAATAACAGCCAATAATCAATGTCAGTCATCTCTCAGAGGTCTGAACCACACCCTCCGAGCAGCCCAGGCCTGAGAACCAGCAGTTCAGCAGGGCCCCTGGCAGCTCTAAGCAGGGGCTGCTCGTGGTCGCAGCAGCCCAGGGCATGGACCGCCTGCCCGACGGGTGTCCCTTCCCTGCCCCCTCGGAGCCCGGCCCGCACCTGCCCAGGTAGGTGGTCAGTAAAGGCCGAGGTGCTGGGAGGGGAGACAACCTGCCTCAGGCCAACAGCTGGTCAGGGCCCAGGCAGGTCTCGAATTCAGGCCTTTTGACTGTTCTCTAGAGACCGGCCCTCCCAGGCAGGCGGGGAGAAGGCACGACACGGAGAACAGAAATCCTTCCCAGGAGGGTCAGAGCGTCTCCGATGCCGATCCACCCTTCTTATCCCGAGGGAACAACAGACGGTGACCTCACGGATTCTGGAGGCAAAACCGACGAGCGGCCGGGAGTGGGTGGAGCACAGGATGGACTGGAAACACCGAAGTGGAGTCGGTGGATCCCTCTTTACTACCGACCTCCCGCTTCCCGAGACAGGGGCTCGGAATTCGAAGGGGAGGAAAGACTGTGCTGAGGACACAACCCAGGACAGCGTCCGAGGGAACCAGCAGAGCTGGCATCTGCCTCGTGCTGCGTCCTCCCCGCGGCCACGGTGCCTGCACAGGTGGCCTTGGGCGCCTGTCACCAGCCGTTTCTTTGGGGGACTCACCTGCCCACGATGAGCTTAATGGTGTTTGTGCAGACGCCGTTCAGAGCGAGAGCCAAGGACACGGCTACAGGACAAAACCAACAGACAGAAAAGTCACCGGCTGGTCTCAAGTCAAAGTCATCACCCACATCACAAAACACTATTTCATCTACGGCTGAGGAAGACGGGCCAACAGCTTTAAAAACAGCACGTTTGGGTGGCGAGTAAAATGTAATTAGGACAGGACTTTGGAGAGCGACTCATAAAACCCCGAGTCCTGAGCCGGAGATCGATCTCCTCCCCGACTGAATGCTCAGTATCGCGGAGGAGCCGTCTGTCACGGGCAGATGTAAGGCTGGAAGCGAGAAACATGAACTTCTCATTTCCTTCTGCAACCTTCTCAGTCAGTTCTCATGAGAACATCCTTCTGCAAAAGAGGACACTCCCATTTGGCAATTCTCCTTTTTATTTTATTAAACTTATTGGGGTGACGTGGGTTAATATGGTCATAGAGGTTTCGGGTACGGACTGCTGGGTCATGTGGCAGCTCTATTCAGGTTTTGAGGGACTCCGTACTGTTGGCAGAGGGGCTGCACATCTCCCTTCCCACCAGCAGTGGACGGACGAGGGTTCCCTCTTCTCCACAACCTTGCTATTACCTGTCTTGTTCTAACAGGTGTGAGGTGGTTTCTCGTTGTAGTTTTGATGTGCACTCCCCTGATTGCTAGTGAGGTTGAACATCTTTTCATACATCGATAGGCTATTTGTATGTCTTCCTGGGAGAGGTGTCTGCTCAGGTCCTATGGCCATTTTTTAAAATCGTTATTTTGAAAGTATTACATAAGTTCCCTTTATTCCCCATTGACCTCTTCCAGCCTGCTCCCGCCCCGCCCCCATCCCAGGCCTTCACCACCCTGTTGTCTGCACCCCCAGGTTAAGCGTCTATGCACACAAGTTCTTTGTTGACCCACCCGATGGCCGTTCTTTCCTTGGGTTGTCTGACTGGTGTTGTTCTTTGAGCTCTTTATATACTTTGGATATTAAACCTTTGTCGGGGCTCCTGTGTGCAAATACCATCTCCCATTTGGCGGCTGCCTCTTGTTTTGCCGTCGGTTCCGTTTGCTGCGCAGAAGCGTTTCAGTTTGATAGCGGCAACTACCTCCTGTCGACCTGTCACCTGCCAACAGCTGCCCATCTGCTATCCAGCAGGCGCTGTGTCTGAGGTGAGGAGTCCCACGACCTGGTGGGTTCTGAGAAAGTTGGCCTAAAGCACCAGGAATTTTGGAATACTTTGTCTAAAATACACAGCAGGGGGCTCTCCCAGCTCCGAAGGACTTTGATGCGTGAGGGACAGGCCATCCAAGGATGCGCGTGACGGAGTCAGGGAGCTGCCCCGTGTTCATTGAGACCTCACACGTGGCGAGTCCGTGTGCGGAGGCTCGGATGCCGTGCACACGGAGAGCCCTCGGGTGCCCGTCCCCTTGCTCTACTGAACGATGACGCACAGGAGCTGCCCTTCCCTCTGGCAAATACGAAGGACTCAACAGGAGCCAAGATTCCCGTGGGGACATTTTCGGGAAAGAGGTGTTCATGGCCATCAGGGAACGAGCCTGTTGTCCTACGAGCAGAGAGCTTGGAGTGGCCAGGGGGCACCACGGGCACAGGGACGAGCTGGAGAAAGCCGCTTGCCTTTTAAAAATGTTTGTGTTAGGCTGGGGTGACATTGGTCAATAAAATTATAAAGGTTTCAGGTGCACATCTGTGTGCTGTACCGTGTGTTCACCACCCAAAGTCTAGTCTCTTCCCATCACCATTTACCCCCCGTTTACCCTCTTCTACCCCCGCCTTCCCTCTGGTACTCACTGCACTGCTGTATCTACCAGTTTTACTTATTTTTTGCTCAACCCCGTCACCTTTTTCACCCAACCCCCTCCCCTCTGACAGCTGTCAGGCTGCTCTCGGTATCTATGCGCCTGTTCGTTCGTCTATTTTGTTCATTAGATCCCACGTGAGTGAGACCCTACAGTGCTTGTCTTTCTCCGACTGACCGACTTCATTTCCCATGATGCTCTCCAGGTCATCCGTGCTGTCGCAGAGGTAAGACTTCCTCCTTTTTACAGCTGAGGAGTCCATCACCTCACACCTGTCAGGATGGCATCATCGATGAATCAACCAACATTAAGCGTTGGCAACGATGTGGAGAAAAGGGAACCCTCATGTACTATTGGTGGGGCTGCAGACTGGTGCAGCCAGTGTGGAAAACAGTATAGATTTCTCTCAAAAAATTGAAAATGAAACAGTAGCCCTGGCCGATTTGGCTCAGTGGGTAGAGCATCAGCCTGGGGACTGAAGGGTCTCGTGTTCGATTCCAGCCAAGGGCACTTACCTCTCGGCTACAGGCTTGATCCCCGGCCCTGGCCAGGGTGCATGTAGGAGGCAACCAATCGATGTGTCTCTCACACCGATGTCTCTCTCTCTCTGTCTCTCCATCTCCCTTCTATTTTCTCTAAAAAATCAATGGAAAAATATCCTTGGGTGAAGACTAACAAAACCCGAAAATTAAAGAAAAAAAGAAAAAGAAACAGCATGACCCAGTGATCCCACTTCTGGGAATATATCCAAAGAAACGCAAACACCCCTTGGAAAGAATGTGTGCACCCCCTGCTCACTGCAGCGTTAGTTACAACAGCCAAGACGTGGAAGCAGCCCACGTGCCATCAGTAGGCGAGTGGACGAGCAGCTGTGGTGCACGTGCACATGGAAACCTACCTGCTGGCAACAAGTTGTGGGAGCAGAGAGAATGGAGCAGCCGGTTCCAATGGACTCCTTTGTCAGAGGAAGGTTTACCACCCGAGTGTGAGGGGGGGACTGCATATCTCAAGGGTGGGGGGGGGAGGGGAGGGGCCACAGGTGGCTCAGCGTGTGGTCCTACCACTTAGACACCACGCCTGCGAGGGGGGCGCAGAAATGGAAACGAGAGGGGGAAGCGCAGGGAAACCCTCTGATTGCATCCGCGTGCACAGACCCTCCTCCCGAAACGCTGGCCTCCCTGCCCTCTCCCAAGCTCGGGGCCTGCGGGAAGGTCTCCTTGGCAGAGAAGGGATCCCTGGGCTGTCTTCATGCCGCTTGTCCCGGAGCCATGACAACGGACAGGCTGTGAGGACACCCGACATGACGGGGTCTCCCCCACACCCTGGTCCGCGGGCGCCCTGCTGTTCTCCAGCCGGTCTGACTTCCCACCTGGCCCTGGCCTGGCCTCTCGCACAGACAAAGTCTCCGGAAGAAGCATCACCCGCTGAGCTGCCAGTGCCTCGGGAACTTCAAGGGGAGGTGTCAATCGGAACCCCACACACCCGACCTCTGCACCCCTGGGCTCGCCCTGCACAGAGCGGGTCTTGGAAAGACCCAAGTAGCCGAGCTGGAAACTGTGCATGTCAGGTCCTGACGGCTGGCAGCTTCACTCCTGACCCGAAAGCCCGAAGGAGAGAAGAGGGGGGATCTGGGGTGACAATATCGAGGGCGGATGGCATCTCCTCATGAAAGTGATGGTGAGCTACTTGCTGCCAGAACCACAGCCTGACTCCTTATTCTGGAAGTGACCTGGACCGGTGGTTATTTCCATCTGAACAGCACCCCAGGGCATCAGCATGGGCCTCTCACCGACAGACACCAGAGAGAAGACAGCCGAGTTCAGATGCAGGAAATGAGTGACCTGATCCGAGAGCTTCCTGACTAATGACAACCCTGGTTTGAGGGGTCTGGTCGACAGCACCCCACCGCACTGTGGGCTCGAGAGGTCAGCCAGCAACCAGACTGTCTGCTGACAAAACCCAAAGCCACGTGGTGTGAGCTGGCCGGCAAGAGGCCTGAACAGAGGCACTTGCAGACTAACGAGTGTCCCAGAGGCTCCGAGGCCCCTGGTCACGTTCGTTGCTGCTGGGGAGTTAGCACTCCTTCCAGACGGGGTTCTCGTCACACGGACAGTGTTCTCTGCCTGTGTCCCTTGAAGCCTGAAGCTGCATGGGCCCAGCCTCACTCCTCTGGTCCAGCAGTGATGCACAGAGGTGGCCACTGGACATGCAGGGAAGGGGAGCGCACGGCATCCAGTCTGTGGAAGGTGCCCGAGGAAAGGGGCCTGGGCACGAAGCCCCTCCCCGGAAAGTCCTGAATTCCAGACATTGGGAGGCTGCACCTAGTCTCTGTCCTTGCTTTTTAAATATATTTTTATTGATCTCAGAGAGGAAGGGAGAGGGCGAGAGAGAAACATCCATGATGAGAGAGAATCATGGATCAGCTGCCTCCTGCACGCCCCCCACTGGGGATCAAGCTCACAACCTGGGCCTGTGCCCCGACCGGGAATGGAACTGTGACCTCCTGATTCGTACGTCGACGCTCAAGCACTGAGCCACGCCGGCCGGGCCTGTCCTCGCTTTGTAAAGCTCCTCCCTCCTCCCCCGGTTTCTAAGGCTTCCGAAAAGCAGGGGCTTTTAAAAAACGTGAGGCTCGCCATCATTTCTCCAGGGCAGGCTCTCATTTGTTAGGCCAACAGGACGCCCGATACCTCCACCTTCTCTGTTGATGTGTAGGAGGCGGGTCTGGGGTGCGATTTCGAAATGCTCCTCAGGAAGACTCACCGAGAGTGAAAAAGCCCGGAGAAAGCCACGGCGGGCTCCTTGCTGCCGTCGCCACAGCCAGACCTCAAGAGCCGCCGGCAAATTACCATGAGGCCCTTCCCCACAGTCACAGGTCTTGGGGTCTCAGACCAGAGGGGAGATGAAGAAACAGTGAGGGCAAGGGGTGGGGGTGCAGACAGTCTGGAGTTTCCTCAAAAATTAAACATGGAACTGCCCTCTGACCCAGCGATCCCCCTTCTGGGACGATATCCTGGAATCTGAAACCCCATCAGACGAACATGTGCGCCCCATGCTCACCGCAGCACCATTGACAAGAGCCGAGATCTGGAAACAGCCGAGTGCCCGTCAGCAGACGCGTGGGTAAGAGCTGTGGGAGTCACACCATGGGATGCTATGCAGCTGCGAAGGAGGAGGATCCCTTACCCTTTGGGGCAGCCTGCAGGGACCTGGGGAGCATGATGCTGAGTGAAGGAAGCCAGTGAGAGAAAGACAAGTGTCCCAGGATCTCACTCGTATGTGGGAAGAAAATAAACTAATGAACAAAAATAGATCCAGAGACAAAGAAGCATGGAACAGACTGACGAATCTCACGGGAAGGCGGGGGGGGGGGGGGAGGCGGCATGAAAAGAGATTAACTAAAGAATTTATGTGCATCTATGCCGAACCCACAGACACAGACAACAGTGTGGTGAAGGCCTGGGAGGGGAGGGGGAGTGGGGTGGGGTAGATGGAATCAATGGAGGCGGGGGGAGAATCTGCAATACTTTCAAGAATAAAGATAATTTTTTAAAGTGAGGGGAAGGGATTTCCAGGTCAATTGAGAAGACCCCCAACAGGACATCCTGGGACCACAGTGCTATCCGTCCTGACCCAGCCCCGGCCGCTTGGGCCACGTGTGGGAGGGGCCCCCGTGCCCTGTCTGGAAAAGCCTACCTCTCCACCACCAGCCTCGGAAACTGGGCCGCGTCACTACCAAACCCGAAACCACAGAGGAGCAGCCAGGACCTGCCTGGCCTGGGGGGGGAGGAAGGGGACGGCATCCACAGGCTGGTCGGAGACCACGACTTCCGTGGCCAGGCCCGAGAAACCATGGAGCCAGGGTCTCTGGGGGTGTGGACGTGGTGATTTCTGAGCTGCCTGTACCATGGGCCTATTCGCCACAATGTGAGCTGGACAGGCAGGGGTGACAAAGTTTCAGGTTCGTTTTCTTTCGCCACCAAGAGCTGCCCTGCCCTGAGCCCAGGCAACCGGTCTTGAGGGAGGCGGACGCTACTGTTCAGAACAACGGACAGCGGCCACGGGCTGAGGGGAGGCGCTGCTGCTTCCACCTGTGCCCTGGACCTTCCTGGTCTCACAACACTTAGTCTTGCTCCTCCCAAGCTTGATTTGACCGAGAGAAAGTTAGCTGGGAGCAACTGAGGTTTTCTTAAACCCCGTGATCTAATTCAGTCCTGCCCCACCCCTTAAACCAGAGCCGTGGATACTCTACCTAGGAAGGCTTCCTTAATTTCAGTCTTGTCTGTTCGCCGGATAATTTTCACCACACAGATCACAGCCAGGGGCGTGAGGAAAGAAATGGCCTGGAAGGGAGAACAGACAGTCCCTGTGAGGACAGTGCTGGGCCATCAGAGGCTGATGGGTCATCAGGGCCAGTGGCTGATCGACCATCAGGGCCAGTGACTGATCGACCATCAGGGCCAGTGGCTGATCGACCATTAGGACCAGTGGCTGATCGACCATCAGGGCCAGTGACCGATTGGCTGATGGATCATCAGGGCCAGTGGCTGATTGACCATCAGGACCAGTGGCTGATCAACCATCAGGGCCAGTAGCTGATCGACCATCAGGGCCAGTGACCAATTGGCTGATGGATCATCAGGGCCAGTGGCTGATGGATTATCAGGGCCAGTGGCCGATTGGCTGGTGGATCATCAGGGCCAATGGCTGGTGGGTCATCAGGGCCAATGGCTGATGGGTCATCAGGGCCAGTGGCTGCAATGGGCTCCCTGGTGGATGATCTGACTGAACTCCTGACCCCACCTGAGGAGGAGGCTTTGTATCTACACTGCAGACTCCAGACGCTTGAACTGAGGGCTGATTGCAGGTTGTAACTGATGTGTAATTGCCGGAGCCGTTTTAAAGTGGCGGCTTTTCAAACAGAAAGGACGAGTCTGTAATTATGACGACTCGTCTTTGCCAGGAAGCCCCTCGCGTCCTCCCTGCAGCAGGTGGGGGAGCCCCCTCTCCCCCCAGCTCTCCGGCCACACGAGAGCCCGTGGGGCTGCTCAGCGTCCACCATTCATTCCCCTCTTGTTCTGCTGAACACTCGTCTCCGCGCAGCTCTTCCCTCCCTTTCCTGCCCGGACCCACAGCACAGACGTCAGGAGCACTTTAATGAGCAGGAGGTGGGATTCGCACTTTAATGAGCAGGAGGTGGGATTCGGGTGCAAACAACTCCCTGCAGGTGCGGAGTCCCTTCTCCTCAGCACGGCCGGGCCCCTTGGGCCCCCTTGGAACTCCGTGATGAGGCCGAGGACACAGCTGGTGGGAGCGGCCAGGCTCTGAGGGCAGGTGGTCTGCCTCCCACACCTGGTCTACAATGAGGAAGAGGGGCTTCCTAACAGGACAAAGCATGGCCAGAAGGTACGTTTGTCAGGACAGAATTCATCCGTATGAACAGGCTCTGCCACCTCCTCCAACCAGAGCTCAGAACATCTGGGGGGGGGGGGGAGCTTGGGAACTGTCTGCGGAGACCGTCCATGAGACCTGAGGACCCCTCTCTGCTCACTGTTCCTTTCTGACCACGAGTGGGAGCAAGAGCCCTCTTGTCAGCTGTGGCCTTGAATGACTTGGCTGTTTACACCCCGGAGGGCATTCAGGAGAAGGGGCCCAGGTCTGGGCAGCTGCTGGAAGAGACTCAGAGGGAAGCTGAGCAGCAGAGCCTGCCCCAGGACAGGAGGACACTCACTCCTGGGGCCTCTGGACGTCTGGGACGTCCCCCCCCCCCCCAGCCCGGAGCTCTCAAGCCTGAGTCTCTGCCGGTCCCTCAAGCACGCGCCCAGGTCAGGCTGGACTCCGTCCCCACGGCTCTGATGCTGGTGACAGCCCACTCAGACCACTCGGCGTTTAAACAGCGGTGACTACCCTCCTGCAAAGGCCTGTCTGTAGTTCCCTGTCTTCGGACATAAGAATTAGAGGCAAAGAAATTGGACTTGGGGGTGTGGAGCCAGCTTGCTCCTGCAGGCTCAAGACCAACCATCCCACCCAGAATAAGTAAACAAGCAAACAGCGGTGACTGCGGGCACGCTCACTACGTCCAAAGTTAGAGTCAAGGTCAAGATGTCCTTGGCTCCTTGTTCCTCTCACGTTAGGCACCGCAGAGCAGGCCTCCACCCCCCAACAGACAGCAAACAGCTCTGCCATGACCCCAGTCACACCTTAAACATGGGAACAGCACACACTGAAGAAAGCCTTGCAGGACAATCCGGATGATACACCCAGTTAGACAGAAACAAGACCCAGAAAAGAGCACCAGCTGCAAGACTCTCCCCAAGAGGCTCAGAATCTGAGCAGGAGTTTGCCAAACGATTGGGAGGCAGGGGCACACCCGCTCAGGCTCTTGGCTCAATGGCCACGGGGCGTCTCAGCACTGCCCCTGCCTCAGTTCTCCTGCTCTGCACCCAGAAATCTGTAGCATTTGTATCTAGACTTTGAAACAATCCATTGCTCACGTAAGCCCAGGACACAGCCACACGTCGCTCACATTACCCCACAGGAACACTCATCTCTAAACTATGTTTCACATGAAACCTGAAGACTGGGGGGGGGGGTACGGGATAAAGAGAAGCTCCCCATGAAAGACACTCAGCGAACTATGCAGACACCCAGGTCCTTTATTTCTAGGATTCGTAGATTTGACTTAGAGCCAAAATGGAAGGAGTCTCATTTTAATGCTCAAGTGTTAGGTAGTGATCTCTTCATAACCACCCTAATTTTTAATTCCTCTGAGATTGATGAAAATCCAGTTTATTATCCAGCAGAAAAGCAATGATTAAAAAGCGATGAAAGTAAGACTTGAATGCTCACTAGTCCTCACTAATGAACAGGAGTTCCTCCATAAAATCAGGGGATTTCTTTCTAAATGGAACGTTTCTCGTGTACTCTAGGAAAGCTTTGGAACCAGGGACCCCGTCCCCAGAGGCACCAGGCCTGGCAAAGAGGAGTACCTTCCCCCCAAGGCTGCCACCCAGTTCCGTCATCGCTGCACAACGGGGGCTCATCTCCCTACGCACGGCCTGGGCACCAGCCAGGAGCCCTGACCCAGCCCCAGCCCGAGGGCAGCCTCGCTGAGAGGGCTCGGGGCTGGCCGCTCAGATGGGGTTCCAGGCCCTGCCACTCACTCGCTGGAATGCAGTTCTGCACCTGCAACCGTGGAAATAAAGACCCTCCTTCCACGGGGTGTGGGTGGGACGCGCTGAGACCATCTTCCCGCAGTTACCAAGGGCCGGCCGAGGAGGGAGTCCCAGAGGGTGCGACTGCCGTGGGGCAGGCGACAGGCGACGTACACACATCCCAGCGAATCCCCCCGATGTGGGCGCTGGCCCACTTATTCCAGAAGCCGAGACCCAGGCACTACCCAGGGGTGGAGTCACACTGGCCGCCTCGCCGGTGGCGACAGCTGACCAACTGAAACCAGCGGCGAAGACCTCAGCTTCTCTTCGAAGCAGGTGGAGCTGCAGTTTCCGGCCGATTTCACTGTGAATATTGGGGACAGCTCAGCGCAGCTCAGGCCGGCAGGCCCCTCCTCCCAGCGCCCGCCATCACTCCTTCTCACGTGAGCCGTGAGCCGGCAGCGCCCGCCAGGATTTGGTTTTGAACTGGAACCTGATGGTCTGCTCACCGTCTCCAGGGGGTGAGAAAAGCTGAAGGAGAAACTCACTCGGGAGAAAGGCCGAGCCGGCGGGGACCTGTACTTACAAACATGAGGCGGGTGGGGATGTTGTCCGACTGCACCAGGGGGTTCTTGTACAGCCAGACCTCCTCCGGCTGGATGACCCTCTCGAACGGGTCCAGAAACTCAGTAAAACTGAAACAGCAAAGAAAGGTGCGTGAGGGCCGAGCACTCGGCTGCTGTCTTACTTCCGGGGAGGCCGTTTCCCCCCGCCCCAGGAGGACCAGCCCAGCCTCCACCCCCTCAGAGAGCACCAGCCCTCCCCTCACCCCCAGGGAGGACCAGCCCTCCTCCTACCCCCAGGGGAGGACCAGCCCAGCCTCCACCCCCTCAGAGAGCACCAGCCCTCCCCTCACACCCCAGGGAGGACCGCCCACCCCTCACACCCCAGGGGAAGACCAGCCCACAGAGAAGAGGAAGGATGACGCTGCCCGGGCTGGTGGCTCTCAGCCCCGACCAACTGGGGAAAGACAGAAAGAATGACAGGGTTGGTGGCATCTTCCCTCGCCACCTGCCAGCGTGGACCGATTCTGGGCATGAGAACAGCTGTGAGCGTAACATGCAAAGACCCTAAGCCCCGGGGATTCGAAAGTGAATGGGTCTAGCTCTGCCTGATGCCGAGCAGGTGCCCAAAAGAACTTCAGAGACTGAGTGGCCCCTCTCTAATTTCAGAGAGAACACACGTTCCCTGAGGTCCCCTCTGATAAAGGATTGTCATCGCACTTCTGGCTGCAGAAGAGAGTTATGGAAATGCATTCTACCTTGAGGGTCACCCCCCGCCCTGACACCTGGAAGGCCGAGTGCCGGCAGATGGCAAAGGGCACAGCAGGCGGCCAGGAGTCGGACGATCTGATGCTCTCCCTTCCCTCTGCTCCGACGCCTGACTATTAGGAAAAGTTCCACGAATGAGCTGCACTCACTTGGAAACTCTCCGTCTAACTGGTCTGTGGAAATGCTCCGCCAGACCAGCTCGGCCAGAGCTGAGACCCCGAAAGCAGGCGGGACAGCTTCGTCAGGGGCCCGAGCGAGTGCTTTACAGAACTGGAGACCACCCTACGCTTCACAGCTGAGCTCCGAGACGGCAAGTGATTGGACCGTGGTCCCACAGCCAGGAAGTGGCGGCAGGGACTCGAACCCAGGGCTGTCCAACTTGTGGTCCGTGCTGCCCGTGGGAGAACAACACCTGTGTGGCACCGACGCACACGTGCTTGGCCGCATGCTGTTCGTGGGATCTCCACCACCCGAGTGGCCGTACACCGAGGAGGGAAAGCTGCGATGGGTGAAGGTTAACAAACAAGCTCTTCTCAGCGGCGCCCACGCAGGAGGAGCCACGCTCCGTTCCAGCACCAAGATCGTGGAGCCCAATGGCGAGAAGCCAGAGTTCGAGTCCAGCATCTCCCAGACTCTGCTGGGACTGGAGATGAACGTGGACCTCAAGGCCCAGCTGCGGGACTGGACATCACAGCGGCCAAGGAAACTGAAGTTGGTGGCGGTCGGAAGGCTATTATCTTCGTTCTGGTTCCTCAAGTCTTTACAAAAAATCCACGTCCGCTGGTACTTGAGCTGCAGAAGAAGTTCATGGGCAGCACGTGGTCTTCCTCGGGCAGAGGAGGGTCTGCCTAAGCCGACCCGAAAAAGCCGGACAAAGAACAAGCAGAAGCGCCCGGAGCCGCATGCCGACCGCCGTCCTGGAGGCCTCGTCTTCCGAGTGTGATCGTGGGCAGAGGACCCGCGAGAAGCTGGACGCAGCCGGCTCACAGGTGCATCAGGACAAAACGCAGCACAGCAGCGCCGGGCATAAGGCTGAAACTTCTTCCCGTGTCTATAAGAAGCTCATGGGCAAGGACGTTCATTCTGAATTCCCAGAGTTCCAGTTGGAAAGAAAAATGACTAAATAAAATATCATTCTCACAAAAAAAAAAAAAGTGAGGAGCCAACCCACACACAGAGGGGGCGGGGGCAGGTCCACAGCACTGATCCCGCAGGAGCAGGAGCAGGAGCAGGAGCAGGAGCTGCAGAGCCCAGGGCACTCACAGCACCCAGGCCCTCAGCTGGGCCCAGACCAGGGACCAGCTCCTGGCGGCCGGGCCTGATGACAGGGTCTCAGGGTCCTCGTCTGCTTGGTGGGACCACGAGTGCAACACCCCACAGGGAGGCGGGAGGTGGGGGCTGTCGCACAAGTGCCGGGTGCTGGGAGGCCAGGAAGCAGTGTTGCTCTTGTGCTTATTATCGTAAGTTTTTTGTTTGTCAACCTTCACCCAAGGCTAATTTTTCTATTGAGTTTTAGAAAGACTGGGAGAGAGGGAGGTGAGTGAGAGCAAGAGCGAGAGAGAGAGATTGGTTGCCTCCCAAATGCGCCCTGTTCCTCGAGCCTGCAACCCAGGTACGTGCCCTTGACCAGGAATCAAACCCATGACCCTGAGTTGCGGGCCGACACTATAACCACTGAGCCGCCGCCCGGGGCTATCATTCGTTTTCTACTCCTCCCGTTCCAGTTGGAAAACCCTCTCCACTATCAGCTGGAGGTTAATGGGAGACCCCGCCAAGCAAGCAGCCTGCACGTGGTTAGATGGCGCCTATGATTTTAAATCTCTCTGTTCAAGGGGCGGAGCCAACCCCCCTTCCCCCCCCATCACCTCTCTGCTGCTTCGGACTCTCAGGATGGTCCACACCTGGGCACTGTCTGGTGCTGCATCCACAGTCCCATCACCTGCTCCCCACAGGCTAGGTCTGCACACCTGTCACTACCTGGTGGCGAGGCAGGTAAAGATCCAAAGATGTGGGGCCCAGAGCCCTAGCCCAGACTCTGAGGATGGAGAGCCCCAGCCAGGCACCGCGGGCATCTGCTGTGTGCCAGTCACGGCGTCACTGCTCAGGCAAAGGTCTGACAGGCAGACAGTCCCTACTTGCAGGAGCCCCGAGTCCGAAGCGGAAGATGGACAATCAGACAGTGGCCACGTTTGGGGAGCACCGTCCGGTGGGAGAGGCTGCCTGGGCGCTCAGCCGAGCATGACTGACTCCACGCTGCAGACTCAGAGGAGCTCCCCAGGAAAAGTCAGAGCCCGGCTGGGCCCGAAAGCCAGTGCGAGATCCGTCAGGGTGTGTGTGTGGCTCCGGAAGTGGGGCTCCGGGGAGGAGGCGCTGAGCAGCTCACATCCTGAGATCTGCAGCTCCTACTGCAGTTAATCACACACACGTTACATTTAAAATCACCACCTGGGAACCCCAGGCCTTGCTGGGCACAACCTGCTTCAGGCTGGGCCTCCCCGGCCCCCCAGCTGCCGGCCGCGGCTGCCGGCCCTCCTGCTGGCCCAGCAGGGCTCACAGGTAATCCTGTTAGGCTCCCTTGTAGGTTCAGCCCATCATTCCTGCCAAGATTTTTATGAACCTTGATTCTATTATCCTACAGATTAGCCTTCCATCCTGGTTCTGTCATTCGCAAATTTGATAAGCCTGCTTTCTATGTCTTCATCCAAGTTGCTGATAAAAACCTTGCACGGGAGGTCAGAGTCCTGAGGCCTGAGGTCTGGCCCAGGCAGCACCCCGCCCCCCGATGCACCCCAGAGCACAGCCAATGCCTGCTCTCTGGATGCTCTGCTGTTCACCTCCAACTACTTCAGCAGCCGGAGGACTTTCTCCCCTTGTCCCCAAGGGGCAGACTCGGTAACAACTGTAACACCTCACTCACCCAGAATCAGCAATGAACACAGCCCTCCCTCAGAACCAGCCAGCACCCAAAACAGCCTCTGGACGTGCAGAACTCGAGCCTAAGACAGGAGCCTATCAGACCCTCCGGCTGAGCCTATAACTCTTATTTTACCCACAATCATGTTCACACGGTGACCACCTTCTTTGTGTTAATATTGCTTATCTTGAAGTTACTTTATTTAATGCTAATACATAGCTACATTACCTTTCTTGAGTTAATGTCTGCACAGAATATATTTTTCCACCTTTTTACTTTCAACTTACCTGCACAATAATAGAAATTGCAAAGAAATATAAAAGTGAGCCCTAACCGTCCAGGGCCGTTCTCTCTCAGAACAAGGGCTGTAGAGAGAGGAGCCAATCCCCTGAACCTCAGGTGAACGCCAGCACTTCACTCCTTAGTACAGACCAACAGAGACTACAAACCATTCACCAGCAAGAGGAGCATCAGCTTAACAGCCCAAACCAACAGACAACCCAGGTCCCCGAAGGAGTAAAGGAGCAGAGGTCCAGGGTGAGACGAGATGCTCACAGCAATGGAGTCGACAAACCACCACCACACACCACGTGGAGGAAGCTCTGAAACCTGCGCAGCCCTGGCTGGTGGCTCCATTGGGTAAGCGTTGCCCATACACCAAAAGGTTGCAGGTTCGATTCCCAGTCAGGGCATATGCCCAGGTTTCGAGTTCGATCCCCAGTAGGGGATCTCTCCCCCTCTCTCACTTCCTCTCTCTCTAAAATCAATAAAAACAACTCTTTGGGTGAGGATTTAAAAAAAAACATGCCGGGCAAATGTCACACCAAACAGTCCACGCTGTAAGACTCCATTTACATGGAGTTCAAAAATGGTGCCAGAAGTCAGGCGGTGGGACCCTCAATGGTGGGCGGGGCTTGGGGGTGGGGTCCCTGGCAGCTGTATAACTATGAATCACACACTTTGTCTTGACCAGTGGTCGGCAAACTCATTAGTCAACAGAGCCAAATATCAACAGTACAATGATTGAAATTGCTTTTGAGAGCCAAATTTTTTAAACTTAAACTATATAGGTAGGTACATTGTTATTAACTTAATTAGGGTACTCCTAAGGCTTAGGAAGAGCCACACTCAAGGGGCCAAAGAGCCGCATGTGGCTCACGAACCGCAGTTTGCCGACCACGGGAGACTTTTGGCTATTTTTAGGTTGAACTAAATCAAATTCCTATTTTTTTTAAGGTCAAAACAGTGAAATGCCAGCAATTTCATGTGGTTTAAATGAATCTACACTAATAAAAGACAAACATGCAAATTGACCGTACCTTCACTATGCCGTAGGCCACGCCCACCAGCCAATCAGAGCGACTATATGCAAATTAACCCAACCAAGATGGCGGCCGGCAGCCACATAGCTGGAGCAAGCAGGAGGCTTGGTTGCCCCAATGATGGAGGA